TCTCAATCAAACTTCTACGTACATCATGAGAAAGCATTACATATCTGACATCTCTAATCAATAAACAAAGCTACCTTCCCCAAAATACTGACCTATTACTTCAACTCTTAACTGATTTTATAAACCTTGCGTAATGGTTTAAAGGTGCCGTTAGTTTATGGTCTATATTTGTTACCGGTTAAAAAAACTGCAAAAAACCATTGCGGTAGTGTATAAAGAATTTCAAGTAGAAAATAAAGTTTCCCAATTTTATGACGTGTAATTTAAGTAAGCCTAATTGGATAAGGTTCAAGACAGTTCAATGATAATAGTGTATAATTTGTGGGGCCGATAAATGAATTATGAATTCTAATCTAATCAAAACAGCTTCCACTTATAGTTAGCATGATTGTATTCCCCATAAACAGACAAAAGTGTCAAGATGCAGGCGATTTTTTGGTGTTTGGTCTTTCTCTATGCCTCAGTTCAGGTGAGTCGCAAAAGCTTACCTTCATTCAAATTGATGATAATTTCAGTCCCGCTCGTACGAAGGACCCAATCCTTTTAGTGGCCAAATCGGCTTGGAGTGCAGAGAAGAAGGCAGGTTGAACGATGACGCTCTACGAAACATTTTGGACGAACACAATATAATCGTCCGAAGGAACCCTCACGTATATTCATTCTTCGAGTGCACGTTTAGAAAGTATAAATTTCTTGAGGATGGGAAATTTGTTAAGGATACCATCCTACCCTACATGGCGAAAGGCCCGGTAGAATTTTACAAACCCAACGTTGTCGATCATCAGAAGACTGCTGAAGAGACTTACGAACTTTGCAAAAACGAGGAAGGTAAAACAGCCGGCGAGCGCGTTGTCAATTTCATGAACTGTGCTGTAAGACACCTTACTGCCGTTGACTATCATCAGCAGCCTGCTAATAAGATTTACGAAATTTGCAAATACAAGAAAGGCGAAATGACCGGTGAACGCTTTGTCAATTTCATGAACTGTGCTGCAGAACACCTTTCTCGCAACGAATAAGTTGAAAACAGTTGTTGATTACAGTAAAATTAAATGTGACGAAATCGCAATCATTAAAGACCCTTTTAAATGCGTTGTCGTTTAGAGTGCGCTATTGCAGGCAAGGCCAGCTTCGAAGGAACGCGCCAAACGTCCCCACTTACGCCGAATTACCGCACACATCGTAAAACACCTGCATCTCTTTGCCATAACAGCGATAAAAACACGTGCGTTAATTACATTTCGCCTGATAAACTCTTTACCGGAAAATTGAACAAATTAAAAAGCGAAGCAAAGAGGCAATCGCATTGTTGTGTAAATGACGCCATGTAATCGTTGTTTCGATCTAACCACCGAAAATAATGACGAGACACCCTGTGTATGAGTATATTTCAGCCTATTTAGTGTTAATGTGACTAATGACTAATGAACTAATTCATTTTTAGATGATTTACGAGTTTAATTTCAATCCCTTGCCAAATCAAGCATACAGATGTGATGACCCCTTTGTTACCTTGACTTTTTTTTTTAAATAAAGCGCCAAAATTAATTTAAACTTGAATTTGAACTGTCCAACTGTAACAACGTATAAGCACAGATTTGGTTTTTTTTCTTGAATTTGTGTTTGCGTATTTGGTTTTCCTTTTAGAATTGTTTGTAATTGCGTAATTTTTGTTTTAAATTTTAGCGCCTTTGTAAATTATTCAATTCCGATAGTATGCTTTAACTGAGACACATCTGGTCAGGTTTGCGTACCTTGTGGGAGGCTAAATTTAGTCGTTCGAGAGTTTTGTTCTGAGGCAAAATGTAAGTAACACACGTGTTTTGGCTCTGATAACGGCTTCAGTACCGATGGAATTTACCATGAGTGCCCTCCAATGGCCAGAAATATCGACACTAATTAAATTTCCCACCAAAAGTTCATTTTCCTCCCTTTCATAGTACTCAATAAAAATTACCGACGATAATTGCTTTATTTCATTAGATGGAATTTGCAAATAATGCACAGGACACGACCAGACGACCATACCTTAAAATCCCATAGTTAAGCGACGTACTTCGTGCAGACAAGTGCTCATCTGATACCCAGACTCGCACGGTTTCTCGTTTTTAATTTGACTGCATTCCTTAAGCTTCTCAACTGCTTTCGCGTAATTGTCCTGCATACATTCTAAATTGGCCGCACCACTCTCCGTCAATTTCTTCTGTTGAACCAGCGTGCATGTCAGAAAGCACTTGATCGCATCGCTCGGTTCCGTTGCGATTTTACCGGTACGATAAATCTCGTGAACCGTTTTCATATCCTCGTCCTTGATATTCTCCTTCTCGCGGCACTCCTTTTCGATTTTTGCGAAAGCTCCGAAAAATGGCTTGGGTGGACATGTTTTGGGCTCTTCAGACGGTGCACCTTTTTCAGCTCCAGGTTCCTGTTACATAATATGATAATATGCCGTTGATCAACGTGTCCCATACGTACCTGACTGATGGAATTGGCAAATGTGCACAAAAGAATCAGAGCAAAGGCTTTCATTGTGTTAACTCCAAACGTTATGGTCGAGAATGTCGTTCGAGATGATTTTATGTAGTTTATAATAAATGGGCGATGGCGAGCTTTGTTCGTTCAGCACAATACCGTCAATTTCCCATTATGAATTGCAGTGGTTTTTATTTTGGTAGTTGCGCAACAATTTTTTTAGTTTTAGAATGAAATTGTCGTGTTTTTTACATATCCTACAGCACCAAATAGTTTCGGGTTAATTTTTACGGGTTTATGTATTATAAACTTGAAAGAACTGCGTGGAACACGGCGTTTTTTGGTAATCTGTGTTGGCACCGTTTATTGCCTGGTACAGACGTTTGCGCTCAAGCAATTCTGATGTGATATAGTAGGACTTTCCTTAGTTTTTGAGCACGTCATTGGTGTATTATGACGTCATCACTAAGTATGTGCATATAGCATCATGCAATCATTGGAAGAGAATACGCATGTAGGTAGCGCAGACTGCAATCATGACTTATCCCAGACTAACGAGCAGAGCCACCGTTACTTTCATGTCAAAATGACGGACGCTTCGCGGCACTTGCGAATGCGGACAGCAGTCGGTGTTGAAACTGGCAGTTTTTTTATATACAATTGCTAAAGGAAATTGAATAAAAACACAGAATGCGTGAGAAAAGTCGAGAACATATTAAATATGTCGATGTCAGGAAAACCTTCGTTGGGACAAAAACCCTGGCATGGCCCACACGAATACACGAACTAAATTAATAAAAACAACAAAAGCAAAGGCAAATCCCCAAAACATTTCAACTTGTATAGATAAAAATCAGGTCACAAATCAAGATTCGAGGAACGTTAATTTTTTTCCAAGAATATGAACGTGCGTCGTTCCAGCTGGTTGTTGAACTTTCGCTGATCTTTCTGTTTTCGTCCTTATAAACTTAAATAGTTATAATATGATATTGTTCTCATCAATACCAGTATGTTACCTGCGCCCTTCGGGTATAATTTTCTTACGGTTTTTGCAGTCTTTATAAAAATTAAAAGGACCGAAATCAAAAAAATTGTAAAATGTTAAATTGTTCCGAAGAGCAAAACCTTGGGCAAAACCCAGCTAACATAAGAATTGCTAGGCTTTAATTTCTCATGAAGACACACCCTTGTGTAAAATCTGGTCGCTGTTTTTATACAAAGAGCTCATAATAGCAAATTTATGTTTCCGGACCAATAATCGTACTCGATAATAACTACAATTCAAAAACCAATTTTGGATCCGATTATATATAAAGACTTTTGTTTTTGGTGCCCACTGTACATTTATGTCACAACCTGTGTTTTGGTTGCCAATGCCAGCCCATGTGGATTGTGGATACCTATGACCGCAATTTTAATAATGCCTTTTACTTTATACAGTGCGTTCCAAAAGAAACGCAAAAAATTTGTATATTTTTACTGTTGAGTTTTAAAAAAAATGCGTTGATTGCAAGCATCTTATATATGCAAGTAAACTAAAAATCTAAAAAAAAAATCAATCTCATTCAATGGCCGGCAGTGACCAATTGTTACGAATTTCCTTAACCAGATCTTCATCTTAGTGGGCGTTATAACCAAATTCCCCGCGTTTAACAATCGAAAGCAGACTTTGCTTTCATATGGAAAACCTTCCTTCTGTTACATTCTTATAATTTGTGCTTTGAAACAGTGACGATCATATCGCTGTTCATTGCACAGCCATTTTAACGGCTTAGTTACGTTTACAGGGGTTGAAAGCTCCACTTGCATAAAATAAATAATCTCTACGGCTTTGGTAAAAATGTTATTGTGTAATGGAATAATTAATACGACAGCTAGCTCAGTAATAAACAAAACTTTTAATGAGACTTACCTTGTGGAAAGTTTGTTCTTTATTTCCTCTTATCATCTGAAAATTTCAATTCCTGTGTCGTGATTACGTTTCAAATCTAATTAATTATTTAGATTGTTTAATATTTGTAATTAATGGTACATTTTCCTATTTAACATATTAAGACATCTCTGGATTCCAAATAAAATCCACACAGAAGAATGGTCTCAACGTACTTAAAATTTCTTTTCACAATAAATGCGAAAAAATCACCAATATCTTTTGTTTGAGTTCGCTTACCATTCATAAAAAATAGACAAAACTGTTCACGGAATAAATTTCCGTGGGTCGACTTCTTCAGGAATGTTAAAATGACTTTGAGCATACATTGCTATACAAAACGATCAAGTTCTGTTATACAATGCAAAGATTTCAAATATCTTTCATTTATCGATGAGTCGAAGTTTTCTGCAAATTACAGTCGATTTTCTCGTTTTAAGAGAAATTCCGAAAATTGGTAGACCGCGTTGTGCAATACAATTGGACCTTCTGTATCGCCTGGTAAAGTTGACTACTCGTTGAATGTTGAAAGATTTGAATAAGGCCCAAACTGGGCTTCAGGTTTATCTAAAGTTAGTAGTAGCGCTAATTAATCGTCTTTAAGCTTTTTACCGTTTTCCGTTTAATCCGAGATTTAATCCCAAAAAATCTTATTATCGCCTCGTATAGACAAGAGAGAGCTTTATAAACCTGTTTTTTTTCGTAACCGACCACTCCAAATATAAACGCAATGAAACGTTCTATACTGTTGATCACAACGCTTTCGTGGCAGAAATGTATTTAAACGCGGTCACGCTGATCAAATAATGCAACAAAACGGAAATGTTCACACCACTGTATATTAGTACTCGTGATGGGAACACGCAATGAATTTAAAAACGATTATACGGATCCGTCTTGAAAATTTCATTTGAAAATATATTTTTCGCCTTGCAGGTTCAGCAAAGAATCTTCCTCTCCCACCCAATTTTTCCTAATGCGCGAAGTCGAAACGAAACCGACACAAACCAAGTTTGGCCACTTTTGTTGTACAGTAGAAAATTCGCCCCTCATGCCGTAGGAACGATCTCTACAACTGGCAACACTGTGGCGTTTTGAATCTTATCTGTGTGCACACTCGCTTCTTATCTGAGCTTCATTCAATCGCATTTTAGTTCGGTTCTTTTGACTATGAAGGGGTACACGTATAAAATGTCACATACTGTCAAATTTGTAAATGCCTACTTATGCAACAACCTCATTAAACCGCTTAATTTAAATTTTAAAGTATGGACTTTCCTAAACTCACACGAATTAAATCATGTCTTCCAGCAAGCAAAATCCTGTCGCCTATCTATTTACCATACGTTACACAATATGTACAGGGTGAGTCAACGATTGCGCGGAGTAACTTAATGCCTTGAAGATAAGATTTTTCGATAGAGTGCTTTTGTATTATGATATGGTTGGATATTCTTCACATTTTAAAAATATTTGGAATTATACAGGATGCGCCCACGAAGTAGGGCGCCAAAATGGTACATTTTTTAAATAGAACCCCCTGTATTTGAATGCATTTTTTATTTCTACGTGTAATTGTACGTCTTTTTTATTATATGGTTAATATCCAAAAAAACTAGTAGTTTTAAAGATAATTCGATTTGTAAGAAAAATTTGGCATTTGCAAGCGTCAGTATATTGTCAAAATTATTACTTCAATTTTGATTCCAGGTTTTATATCTTATCTTGGGTTAAGTAAAAGTCAAATAAATACGTCTACTATGAAACATTGAAAAAAATAGCGTACAGGGTGTTTCTTTGTAGATAGAAAGTTACAAAACTTCATATTAAAAATCTCATTTTTTTTAAATGGAACGCCCTGTATGTTTTTCTGTCATCTGTTAGCTCCTCCAAAACCAATAGTGAGGTGGCCATGCAAAAAAATGGCAACTGTTTACCATTATGATTCCAATGCCTAAAAAAAACTCATATTTTGTTGCCATTGCCAACATATCTTGTCATTACGTATGTCCACAACGTTTTTATACGACGACCAGAATACATTCTCACATTCTCACTCGCGATTTTCCACTTCCTTCAAGGTTTACGTTTCGCAGGTTTCCAACTCCTCCGTTGGTAAAAAAAAACATACAAAATTCTGAAAACACTGTAAAATAGCAGTAGGTAATTTTATTCATTCTCAACAGTTTCTGTGCAGTAACCTTCTGTTTCTTACTACCTGTTTTTTTCAGTATCTCGACTAGTATCTTTGACATAAAACAAGTCAAAAAGCAAAAGGTTAAGATTAATTTATAAGATAAGAGACACTAAACCTAAGACTGGCTAAAGGGATTATTAAGAGTTTATCTCAATCGTCTATAAGGTCGGCGTACATATTATTCATACAGCGCTGAAGTTGATACCCGGCTTCGCATCGATTTTCGTTTTTAATTTCGTTACATTTCTCCATCCTCTGCAGCAGCCTCTCTTGACCTGCCACGTCGGCAGTGAAATTAGGCTCTCCGTTTGGTTTGAGTGAGCCTTTCTCCACCAAGTAGCATCTCAGCAAGGCCATGCCCTTCTCATCAGTGATAAACTTTCGCACATGCATGCTGGAACTGACCTGCTGGACGGTGTCTGGGTCACTACCCTCCTTTGCAATGCAATCATCAAAAGGATATCTCTATCAAATTATTATGTATCAGTCACTTGTGCATATTAGCGATTACTTACTGAATGCGAATACATCAAACCACAAAGGGTTAGTATCAATACCTTCCACATGACGGTGAACGAAAGTGAATTTGATAACCATTTTTCATCACTTATATCTCCTTCCATTGTTACTCACCGATTTGCATAATTTACTTCTGATTATCGTTGCGCAATTCCACATTTAGAGATAATTCAGTAGGATTATAAGCGATTTATTTAATTACGTCATAGGGATAGATACAATTTAAGCAAAGCTTGGTACAAAGTTAGCAGAATGTCTACCGTGACCATTCAGGTAAAATTACTTTTCCGTTAAATGCGTTGGCTACTCCAGCGACATAAAGGCGTTACGTATACATGTCATTGCATTAAATGCCAGATCACATGGAGTCTCTGCTTTAAGGGCGCTACAGGCGTCCATCATCTCGGTCGCCTTGACCAGCCGATCTCTGAAGGGCATCAAATTCAGTTCACCGGTGGTGGTCATCGTGCCATCCTTTTCCAGGACGCACTTAAAGAAGCATTTCACCGTCGTGTCGTTTCCGGCGTTACCGGACTTGAGCGCGCGTTTGGCCAAGCTCGTGTCGACCATCAGCTCCTTGGAGCAAGCCTTGCTGTTCGCCTTGACGGTCGCCTCTCGCACCGACTGGAATAAGAGAAAGTTAACGCTACAATTCGGTATTGATTGCTACTCACGTCTTGGAGAGAGGTGGTCGCGTAGAAACACAGGAGTATGATCAGGGCAATCTTCATGGTGTTGATAGACAAGTTAGTAGGGGCCCGAGAGACGTTTATATGGAATACTGAGCGATTAGTTTGTACTAATCGCGGAAATTTGGTCGATTTAATAGTGATCAAGATAGAGATAATTATGTGGTCATTAAATTCAAAGTCATCTGTATCGTGATAAGCTAATGGAGAACGATGCCTAGAATTCCACTTTTTCAATACCATTCTAGTGTTTTCTTAATGAAATCATAATCTCTTGTTTGGTTTGGACAGATTTACTCATTCCAGAAAGGTAGTTGTCATTTTGCTCACAAGCAACCAAAACTAAATAAAATAAACATGATTATTAGAATGACCCAAAGTTTGGGGTTGAGTAAGAATTTCCTTCCCATTTACTTCCTTATTTTTCTCGGTGATTTAAGTAATGCTCAAGGGTATGCTTCTGTTTTAGTATGGTTGACGTATTCCTAGAGATGGTATCATTTATCTAATTTGGCCCCAATGCTTTCAGCGGCTGAAACCTTATATGCATAAACTGTATCACTCCTTCTAGTTCTGGGATTTCGTTTGGTTGTTTTAGCAACTGCTCAGATAATCTGTTGAATTCAGCGTCCCATTTTCTTGCGGTAATGCTAGTTACCATTGGGCCCCGTGACGATGTATCTGCTCCTAGATTTGAGATTGTCTCTAAACATCCTTGTATGGTGCCGTTGAGCCGTTTCAATTGCGATCCATTTTCGTTTTCCATTCTCGAGAATTCCAAGACTCTATCAAATAACTTATTTACCATTAATCTTTTGTTATTATACATGCTTTGAAGGATTTTCCATACTGTCAACTAACGTTGTTCCGAGATCAATAGATGTCCCGTTATTTCCTCTTCCATCTGGATCAGTATCTCTCTAAACTGCCTCAGACAAACTTCCTGTTTTTTTATCCGGAGCGCTTGTTCCATATCCATTTCTTCATTATTCTGCTCCGTCTGCTGGTGTTTCTGTAGCTCCTCTAGTTAACCTTTCGCGCTGTTGTGGTGTTCATGATTTGGTAGTAGTAATATCCCACATAGCAGACCTATATACATTGCATATACCATGTACATTCCACGTGGGATAATGTATATCCATAGAATGTGGAAAAGTATGTCGCAAATGTCCGATGTATGTGCATGGGATATAAGTTTGGCAGACTTCACAAAATACATAGTATATACGTTTTGGATGTCTTATGTATATGCATGTATATGCATCAGACTACAAGCGTCTATACCAGAGCTGGGCAGTATTCGATTTTGTAAATACTTTTTAGTATTCAAATACTTTGTAATTAAATACTTTTATGGAAGCAGTACTTGTATTTGTAACTCAAATACTTTCATAAATATTTAGTATTTGAATACTTCGCAAAGTATTTGAATACTTTGAGAAGTATTCGAATACTTCGCATAGTATTTGAATACTTAACCTTCCTTTTTTACCAAAAATCGGCTACACCAAAATTTCTCGGGAAAACACTTTTTCTTATTAATTTTGGTGCGTAGAATCCAAATCAATTCGTACTTTTTCGATCATACTTCTCAATCAAAAGTTATAGACTAGAAAAGCAATTTCGAAAGAAAATTCAAAGGGCTGTAACTTTTGAACTAGTAGCCCAATCTTGGAACTGTTTGAAATTATTACTTTTACTCCCCTTAAATTTGTATATAACAATAGAAATATAAAAAAAGCTAACCCCATACAAAGTATAACTTGATTTTTTAAGTTGTGTTAAGACTTTTATCTAGTATACTATTTTACATTTTTAATGTATCTGAGTGACAAGTATTTGAATACTTTTCAAAGTAAGTTAATGAAATACTTTTCAAAGTATTCGAATACTTTTTATAGTATTCGAATACCTTTGATATAGTATTAGAATACTTTTGAAAGTATTCGGATGCATTTTAAAGTATTTGAATACTTCTTTTTTTTAAGTATTTGAATACTTTTCAATGTATCTGTATCTAGTATTCGCTTGTGCTGGACGTAAAAGTATTTAGTATTCAAATACCTTTGATTTGTGTAAAGTATTTACTATTTAGTATTCAAATACTTTTTGAAAGTATTCTGCCCAGCTCTGGTCTATACCTTCATAAATAAATTCTTTTCACGGAGTGGAGCTTTTTGTTTATTAAGTCTCTTAGTATACAATGGAAAATGTGCTTAAGAAATTATTATTGTTTTATTTAACACTGTAGTCTTGAGTCATTTTGATCGTGTTCTTGTTCAACACTATAATAGCGCGAGTTCATAACAAATAGGTTGCTAACATACCTGCCATTCTTGTCCTTATATTAATTCCCATCCAGTCTTTACATCTCACTAGCACATATTTGCAACTTTAGATCATGCACACACGAAATAAAAATCATTACTTTCACTGTCAAAATTAGACAAACAAACTCATTAATAACTCGCAGAATAACACTCCTGATTTTAGAAAAATGAGCTGTATTTGCAATAGCACCTTACTATCTTCATCGCCGTAATTCACAGAAAATGAGACGCTAACGTTTGTAACGTCGGTAATACAGAACACGCATGTATCAAATCCAAAACGCATATACATAACATATAATCCCATGTATATACATAGCACATCCAAAATGTATATTTATAGAATATCCATACTGAACATAAAATACATATGCCTATCCTATATAATGAATATACATAGTATATACATAAGATGGACAGGATATTCCCTGTACATTATTGATTTAAAATGTATATACATAAGATATCGAATGCTATGTGCGACAGGGCTTATCCTAACTCAAAAAGTCACTAGATGCGAAACAGTCTCTACAAAAGTAACTAGCTTTGGAACTCTGCTATCGCGCATAGGGTCGATTCTAAGTCAAAAAGTCACTAAATTTGAAAGTTACTAGAAAAGTTACTAGGTTTGAAACTGTGCTGCGTGGGTTCGAATCTTTGCTAGTACGGTTCCGAACTATCTCGTTTAGTTGCTCCATTAATAATTACGCAATAGCACTAAAATATCCAAAACAACGCACTCTCCGGAGGGTATTTACTGGTATTTGCGGGTCGTTGCCACAAACCTGGTCGTTGGGAAGCGTAAATCCTCCAAGATCGTATCTTGAGATCTTTTCTCTACCGCTCACTCTTTTCGTGTCGTCGGAGCAGGACCCTGCTGATGTTGCTATATCAGTATTGATTTGTTGCCGATGGGGTTGGCTCGACCTGCGGACTTAACCACGGTTCGCAAATTCTTCTATGCTTGAAGGACCGCATGAGATTGCTCTAATATGGTTAAGTGTGAGCGAAATATATTAATTTTCTGGACATCCTATGTATAATCGCACGATTCGAATCGAACATATGAATTATTCGCCCACGATTTCATTTACGTGAGATTTATTATGATGCCATGAAAGAACCGAAAATCGGACCACCACTGGTATTTTTTTCAGAACCGAAAACCGAACCGAAACCGTTATTCCTTTATAAATAGAAACTTACTGAGAACAGGAACCCTTAAGTTGTTAAGTTGTTTCGGTTTTTTACGGTTCTAACAGCTTATTGGAAGTTAAAATATTAAAATTAAAATATCACTCTACGATTTCCATCGGTGGATTATAAATTTTTAATAAAGTGTCGAAATTGAAGGCAGTACGGGTGGCGGTGGAGGTAACTTAGCCACTACTGTAAATGTAAATAATAAATGGAGGGACGAGGTCTTAGAAAACAACAATAAAAACAATACTCCATAAGTTTTTGTGTATTTTTTCCGCTTTTCTAAATTAATTAAGTTTAAATACATATTTCCCTCTTCCTCCTTTATTTCCTACACTGACGATACGTCACGTTTTGGTATTCATGACTTTATACTCGCTTTTTCACACCTATAAAACAAATAACGTTGTTATAATGAATTTTTTTAATGCCACACTTTCTAAGACTAGAACCGAAAAGGACACGTTATGAACCGAAAAGAATGCGCAGAACCGAACCGTTATTTTTTTAGAACCGAAACCGTACCGGAACCGTAAATAAATAAGTATTTCGTTTATTTTTCGCTCAGTGACTAAAACGACGAATCCCGCCTTTTAACTACTCCCATAAAAAGATCTTTGCGAACCAGGGAAACGTAGCTTCCCTCTTGGTGGCTGTACAAAAAATAATATTTTTTTTAATTTCCTTCTCCTTGACACGTTCCCACCTAAAGCGACAATTTTTTTAATGATAGGTTAAGAAGTCACTTACTGTATTTTATTTATCCTGAACCTGAGATAATTTAGCAACAGACACGGAAACTCAGTCTTTACCACGTCATAAAAAAGCAACGTAAAACGATTCTTAGCCCTGTGTTCGTTGCAGAAATAATTC